ATTAACGTAAAATCGGTACTAAAATGGCCACCACTTTTCAATGAGCGGCCATTTTGAAAATCCGCTTTAGCAGAACTTCTACCCCCATAAGGTATATGTGTACCAAATATGAACAAAATCCAGTTGCATTCGCGAATACAAGGTATGATTATTATATATATAAACCATTTCATAAAGTGATGACATCATCAATCTAGCCAACATATCAAAGCTTCTTTGATGTATGAAAAGGAGGCAGGGTTTATTTGAGATTTGTTGAAACTGATATAGCAATTTGTTCAGATTCAATTAGTGATTAGTTATTGTTCAGATTCAATTATAGTGATAACTTATCATTCATCTAATAGTATGTGTGACAGATGATGATGATGGAAGGCTTTTCTACACACATGACCAATGGGGATATTTCCTTGTATAGCATGCCCGTAGCCAGCTTTTGCCAAGGGGGTTCTATTTTCAGAAGATTCCAGGGGGAGGGTTCACATTAGACAATGAGAGATCAAAATCATTTTAAATGTGCTCAGAATGGTGAAAAACTGTACGATTTTCAAAGAATTTTAGAAAGCTGATAATCAACATCTGAATTTGACTATGGACTTTTGATTATAAAATCTAATATCAGATCGATGCAAATTCAGATTTGGATTCAGATCTGATTTTGTTTTACAGAATCCAGGTTAAGTACTTATACTATGTGCAAGCACACATTAATTCATTCACAAAATTCATTCAATTAAATATTTTTAAAATAAGAGATATTACTGTAAATTTTTTATCAAGTTTGATTCAGTAGTTCATGAGATGTTAAATTGTTCAGTAGGAGTGTATCATTTTTTGCACTGGTAAAAATAAGTCTGTCATGATGGATAAAATGGCCAAAATAAGTCGGCGCTGAAGGTTAAATCCATTAAATTATTTGTTCAATGTTGCTTTACTTCTTTACTTTATTTCTTGTTGACATTCTTATATGTTGAGTCTTGTTGACCAAATAACCTTCAACTATTCATAAAAGTAATGAAACTCATTGATCATACTCAAAGTTTCACTTAACCTTCAATGCTCTTCAATCTATACTATCGACTTCGCTTTGAAACAGAGAGCTTCATATTCACTTTCCAGTATATGTATCTGAATTCCTCAAGCCAGTCAGAGTTGGTCGTCCAAATATAGCTGACTTTCTATATACTTGTACATGTATGGTCATTTCCTCTGACATCATCCCATAGTTAATAATTAGCACACATTTAGCATTTGTTCCTTCCAGCTCCCTGAGTGGTTAAGAAAAAGTCAGCGTGGTAGGTTTGACATGATATATGACCCAAGCACCAAAAAATATATTCCATACTAGGCAGAGGGTAGTTTTTAACTAGGAACAGGGCATACATATGCCAATACTACATGGTATCTTGATCCTTTAAGGTATTTCCTACCTTTATATATATGACTAGTTCTCTTATATGTACTGTGTCAACAAATCATTTTTTCTACAAATTATTGCAGTTTTATGACCACTTAATAGTTTTTTAAGCTAAATATGATCAGCACCCGTGGACAAACTTATGGACTGGTCTCTTAAATTGAATGCAGTGAATTTCAAATTATTTCTTATTGGGCACATTATGATGTCCCTAATGACACACCACAATCTTAGACCAAAAAATGCCAGTATGACTGACAAAATTCACTGGTTCACAGTATGATTACTGCATGCATGTAAATTACAAATCTATTTGGACCCCTTGAGAGACCATGTAGTTAACTGTTTCTCTTTAGGCTGAAATAAAACAAATCATGAAAATAATATCAAGGGATACCAAAACTGCCCTTGCTTGCCACTTCAGGCTTATAAAGTATGAAGAAATAATCACATTTAGCTATATGCTTAAAATAAAAAAAGAATGTTGATTTAATAAGACAAAAATATTTGAATGTTTTGTCATTTACAACATTATAGTTCAGAACGTCAGAGCTCATATTTTTTATATGTTAACTGATTTAATCATTTGTTACCAGCTTTAACAAAACACATGGTAAATATTTCACCCTTAGAACAACATTGCACCCTAAGATAGAAGCATACCCAGTTTTAATAATCAGTGTTAAATTGTCACTACAAGGAAAATCAACATCCCTGAAAACCTGAAATTAATTCCTCAAATGCATAGACAATATCAATCTCAAGAACACAAATGTGTACAATATGTCCCCACCAATGAGTGATCCCGTCAAATGGTTATCCTGAAAATGAGTAGACAAGACTTTACCATTACAATTTTGGGATGGAAAATGCAAATGGCCACCTTAAAATGTACCCAGAATGCCTAAAAATTAGTCAGCTCTAGATTTTCATACTAAAAACCATCCCTGAAAATTCCCTGGAATTAATCCGTCAAACAGTAAACCAGAAAACGCGTAAACAAGACTTTACAGACAAGATTTTAGGACGGAAAAATCCAAAATGGCTGCCTTGACATTTGCTCAGAATGCCTAAAAAACTAATCCGTTCTAGATTTTCATACTAAGAATCATCCCTGAAAATTTGAAATTGATCTACCAAACGGTTCACCTGAAAACTTAAGACAAGACTTTACAGATAAGATTTTAGAATGAAAAATCCAAAATGGCTGCCCTGACATTTATCCAGAATGCCAAAAAACTAATCAGTTCTAGATTTTAATACAAGGAATCATCCCTGAAATTGATCTACCAAACGGTTCACCTGAAAACACATAGACAAGACTTTACAGGCAAGATTTTAGGACGGAAAATCCAAAATGGCTGCCTTGACATTTACCCAGAATGCCAAAAAACTAATCAGATCTAGATTTTCATAATAAAAATCATCCCTAAAAATTTGAAATTGATCTACCAAACCGTTCACCTGAAAACACGTAGACAAGACTTTACAGACAAGATTTTAGGACAGAAAATCCAAAATGGCTGCCTTGACATTTACCAAGAATGCCAAAAAACTAATCAGATCTAGATTTTCATACTAAGAATCATCCCTGAAAATTTGAAATTGATCTACCAAACGATTCACCTGGAAACGCGTAGACAGGACTTTACATACAACATTTTAGGACGGAAAAATCCAAAATGGCCGACAATAAAAAAGTGATTATGAGTTTTTGCTGATTTCCTTTTACAAAATTGTCACATATAACCACTGTTAACAATAACATAGGCTTTTACAACAAAGTACACCTAAAATTATTTATAAAGCTACTAAATAGTTAAAGTATGAAAACTCAAAAACACCGTTCAATATGAAACAAAGTATTATCGCGCGCTAACTTTTCTCGAGACATTAAAAATGGCTGACATGACTGAGCTAACAGGTCCAAAACCTAATCAGATGTAGAATGAAGTAAGCTGAACAAGATATTAAAGTTTTAAAAGCAACCGTGAAGCCGTTTTTCTTAAAGTTTGCAGACAAGGATTTTAGCATTTGACTTCAAAATGGCCGACAGGAAGTTGGTATCGAGCTAAAAATCTTTCGTCCACATCTGTATGCACTCATAAGCTATCCCTGAAAATTTGAAGGTGATATCTGTAGCAGTTTTGGAGAAAACTACCGGACGTACGTACGGACGTACGTACGGACGGATGGACGGACGGACAGACAACCAGACGGACGGACGCGCCTAGGCCGACAATATGGCCCCACACTATGTGGTGGGGACATAAAAAGTAAAGGATGAATGAATAGATGGATAAATGGACATAGGAGTGGATGGCTTCCCTATATCTTTACAAACTTCAATCAGTTAGATAACTGATATAGATAGTAATCCTCACTGATGTATTATGTCAGCTTAAAATGTCAGCTTTATAAGCTAGTATTATCCCTAAGATGATTATGACTCTTTAGGGTCAATTGAATTGCAGACATATTTAAAACAAGGCATTAACATGCAAAATGTCACCAACTGTCATTTGTTAGGGATACCGACAACAAAACGCTGAATGTCGAACACCATCCACAAAAAGTTACTATAATAATATGTCACCACTTGTTGTGGCTATATAAAAAAATCTTATCCCTGTTAATTTCGAGTACAAAATAAAAAAACCGAAGACACAAGTGCAGTTCATTACTTTTCAGAAAAGTATCCTTCCATTGTCTTCTTTTGGTAAACCTGGTAAGTGGTCAATGCCGACTCCACAAACTGCTGATAATCAAGATTCAAAATGGGTGCTTTTTCAGTTTCCCCACCTAGGTGCAACCCCTACCTGGGAGTGGGAACCCCTACCTAACATTACATGCAAGAAGCATGCTTTCCAGAAAAAATAGTACTTATGAAAGTATTATACACCTTTCTATTCATATTTTATTTTGTACCTGAAAATAGTATACACAGATATACCAATCTCTTCTTAAGACGTATGTTAAATGTGATGCTTACATACTTAAAACACATCATTCTTTAAAAAGAATACAGGCTACAATGAAGTTGCCAATGGACCAAATATTCTTGTCTATAGGCCCTTTTCTGGCTCGATAAATCGATACAATATATAATAAAACACTTGAAATATATGTAAAATCTAATATACCCTCAGAAATATGGAAATCAACTAATGTCCTCCATTTGCAATTTTACTGTAGCCTGTATCCCTTTTAAAGAAATACAGGCCTCCACAGGAGGCAAGGTAGTGTGACATTGACATCATGTACAAAACAATTATCACAATGTAGAATGTCTCCCATTACACAATGATTCAAACATTGATTTACAGTATTTTCAATCAATACACCCCCAAAATGCAATCTGATTATGATATCTTAGCTCACGCTTTAGATCATTTCTAAGTCAATGCAACTTTTACCTTTAAATCCACAAATTATGTTTAAACCAACCTTTGTGATGAAGAATAAAACCTTCAAGAGGTCGATCATAATTATCTTGAATTCTTGTTTAATTTCAAAAGAGTTATGATGTTTAAATGAACGTAATATTCAGTTCAAAAAATTCATTTCAGAATGGCAGACATACCTGATCGAGACATCCCCAGAGCAAGACATTTCTGAAGACGACAATACTGGCAGCGATTTCTTGTCTGAACAGTGATTTCACAATTCTTGTTATAATAACATTTTTTACGACTGGGGTCCCCAATATCTTGTAAGGCTCTCCGGAAAAAACCCTGAAATCAAACAAAAGAGTTATTAAGTCTAAGTAAATAAAAAAATATTGTATAATGCTAAAAAAATAAAAGCCCTATTTACACTTAATGCAACATTTCAAGATGTCTTGGAAAACTTTTTAGAAAAAAATATGTTGAGTTTACGCCACCATTTTCAAGAGATCTTACGAAATAAGATTGAGTTTACACCTATTTTTCTAAAACATCTTGGAGATATGTAGGTATACATGTATAAAAGCAGTTTAGTACTGGTTGAAGGACAGTTCAGTCAAAATAGTTGTTCCTTACCCGCTTCTATACTTTATGCTAAAGAATGCATCAGTTTCACAAAAATATGTACTGAAGAGAGCATTGTTAAAAGCATGAAAGAAATCACCTCTATGCACTTAGACTCTCAATTCTATTCTGTATGTTACGTTACATATGGCATGTTACACAACACAACACACCTTTAATTTGGATCAAGCTTTGGCTTGTGGTCGCTACCCTTTATTTGTTAATACTAGTATATGTGTACATGTGACAAGCTGTTTACAATACTTGTGATTTATATCGTTTTGTAAGACTGTTTGCATGCCCTGCTCATTTGTAAATCCTATTATACGTGTACATATAGCAGAAACTGTGCCAGGTATATTGTACAATTAGTAAGACAGTTTGTATGCAAAGTTTAATTGTTGCCTGATTGATTTTGAGATTGTTGATCACCTATAAAACCAAAGATGCAATTCGACTGAAGTCGATGCCCTATGGAAAGGTATAACCACACCTCTCAACCCATCAGACCCAGTCACAAGAAAAATTGGTATGAATGCAGAAATGGCTTTTAAAATTTTTTAAAAGAGTTGACTGTTTGGCGACCAAGCCCAAAATAACTTCTCTATTCATAAATCTCACACACTAAACAAGGCCTAACATACAGGCATCTTTGCTCAACCGGAACAGCATGCTACATCACCTAATCATGATTCATGCCTTTTCTTTACTTCACTGCACATATATAGCGATATATATAGCACATATATATAAACGAATATAAATTTTAATCATACATAGACATTCAAGTACAGTTAGTATATAAAAGGACCATTCTCGGTTTGGAGAACGAATCGAAGTTCATCACTTTAATTGAGCGTTACCCCTGCTTTGGACTTTGATATTTTTACATCTTATAAATTTAAATGTTATCTTTTGAATATTCATAACTTAATTTGGGTGATATTTCTATATTTTTCATGAAAAAATTATTAGCCCAAGAGACTTCTCCAAACCGAGACTTGTCCTTTGGACCAAATCTGTCAACTGGTACTTGAGCTATCAAGGATTACATTTCTATAATAAAAATGATGGCTATTTTGAACCAAGTGGCCATATTAGAAATTGATTCTCAAACATGGGTTCTTTTTACAGATGGCATCAGCTTAAAACACGAAAACCCGTTCTGCCGAGTGATATTTGAGTTATCACCTGGACAGATTTATGGACCAATGAATGAATGGCTTCTCTCTACTCAAACTAATTGTTTGGTGTAATAATTACAATTTTGCAAGAATCATCTCCCTTAGCAACATTGCTCATATGGTTACAGGTTCCTGGATCAAATAACAGTTTTATATACACAACTAACACATTACTTTCTGTCATGTTAAATCATTACTATACAGGGTGACAAAAATGTGACTAATTTCGACTTTCAATTATGATTTCAAGTATTTCTGTCTTTGCCACTCTTATTTTGAGTCATTTCAGGATTGCTCTTTAACACCAGTATCAATAAAATAAAATATTATATCTACCATCTTTCAAAATAACTTGATAAATATCAACAAAGACAGATTTCTGAACATGAGATTTGCTATAAGAGCATGCCTAAATGAGCAAGACACAGAGTGAACAGTATCGCACCCCTGCATAGAATAGAGTTTATGGGACATAAAATTCAAAATGACCACCTTAGCATTTTACCCAGAATCCCCCAAAACTTATCAGTTGTAGACTTTCATACCATGAAACGTCTCTGGAAATTTCACATTAATCTATAAACAAGATTTTGGGATGGAAAATCCAAAATATCCGCCTTATCATTTATCCAAAATGCCCGAACGCGAATCAGTTCTAAACTTTCATACGTGGAAACATCCCCGAAAAGTTCAGATGACTCCATGATATGCTTTTTCTCAAAAACCTGTAGACAAGATTAATATAGATGCCCATCTACCTAACCCGCAAACTGATCCCAATATAGCACCCAATGGTGCAATAAAAATATAACACCTTTTAAAATTGCTTCACACCTTAAGCAATTGATCTTCATAATAAATACACGAAGATGCCATCAGAATTGGTTATGAAAAAATAGGTTAGAGGTTTGCATATTTGTGACACCATATATTATATTGATTATCATTAGAACAAACATGGTACATTTGAGAAATAATCAAATACATGACATGTACTAGTAATGAGACATGACGGTTGAATAAACTGATAATCAATTTTAATAAAAATGTTTTCATTCTGGTAATCATCTTTTTGCATCACATATGAGCAATATGCTCTGATATCAAAAATGTTTATGTGTTTACTGCAAAGAACTGTCATTTAGAAGAATAGCCATCTTGTATTTAATGACATGATATGCCCATTATTAAAGAGACATCTCTATCTTCAGATTATTTCATATAACAAGATTCGATCAGATGAAAAATGAAAATCATCTAAAAACTTATAATTTAGAATATCTGGATCTGGATCACGTTAATCTGATAAAAGATAAAAATTCTGAAAAAGCATAGAATTTAAAATCTCTGAATCATATAATCAGATACCATGACATGGTTTAATTCTGTCATGCCGTGAAATAAATCTCTATTTAACTTGTCTTATAACATTTAAATAAGTGGCTATTGCTTTCATTCTCACACTACAGGCTGACACAAAAAATGACACCCACCTTACGTTGCATCACGTGTTTGTCTATGACCATATAGACTTGTCCCTTGGCACATCTAGAGTAGATATAATGCGAGAGCATCTTGAAAAATTTCAGATGTCTAGCTCAAGTAGGTCAAATTTTATGAGTGTTACAATATATGTTCCATATGGTGTCCACTCCTTTGCAAGCAAACTTGAATTCTATGGGCAAAGTTGTTGATTACCCTTACACAGTGAGATATGGCCCTGACCTTCCTTGTAATTTCTCTTTAAGTCAGCTATGGTTTGGGGGTGTTTGTCCCATACACATGGTCCTTTACATACCCCCAGATGTAAAAATCTGATGGAGTCATATCAAATGTATCAAAAAAGCTCTTAGAAGCCTAAAAGTGCAACACCCCTGTTTGTGGACATTTTGGAATCGTATCCTCATAGAATTAAGGTTGTCCCAGCTGCTGGGGAAACATACCAACTATTCAAAATGTGAAATATGGACATCATTAAAAATACTCAAAAAAATGGAATTTAACCAATCACTCTGAATTTTGCTGTGTGATCAGCATATTCCCTTTAAGAGGATATGTAATAATCTTATATATGGGGAACAGACTTATTTGACACCCTGTATATATATGAAGGTACTCACCGAGTCTAATCATACAATGTTTCTCTAATTTGTTGATGCTCAGAATGAGGCAACACATCTCTAGCTCTTAGTAAATTGCGGAAAGCCGTAATTGATGAGGTGAATTTAATTATGACAAATTGAACATCATTCTGCGTCACTAATACTGCATACTCAAGATAAATGAACATAGAAGCTTTCCGAGTATCAGGAACTATTGATAGAGTATATTGATATAGAAATCATAAATATCATTTTCTGAAGATTTAGGTTTAACATTTTGGAACATGCAAAATCTCAAATCTATTTATTACAGACACCAACCACTGATCACTGATCGCCAACTGCCATCATAAAAAATGGAAACCATAACAATATGTCACCACTAAGTGCTGAGTTGGGGTGATACTCCATAGATTACCTGAGAATCATTAATAATCATCATTATTTTATAATATTGAGGATTTGTATTGGGGGTTCAAAAACATAGAGTACTCATGGTACAGTAAAGTAAGAAACAGTTCTACACGACAATTGAAGAAACTACATAAAATCTACCCTTATGGGTGCATACTTAAAAGATATAACATAACAGATACTCACTGGGGTTTACATCAGGGCTATAAGCTTGGTGATCATCAAGCCGTATCAGTTCAGGAACATTTTACAAATTATGCTTATTTCTCATGGCACACCACATGTTTAAGTGAGACGCTGGTGACATATTTTATTCAAGTTAAAGTATATTATTTATGACCCATGGCTAGATAACAACCTCAAGTTTCATTTGGTATCCAAATTATGATTTAATATCAAAAATTAAAAAGTTAAATAATTTAAAAAAGTGGCGTTTTTTTGGCCCACCCTGTACAGTGTGTGATTTCTGATTTCAAATTCTGCTAGTACATATACACGAGTACATGTACATCAAAAATATATCTAGTTTCTAGAGTGAAGACAAACTTGAGCCTATTGCAAGGGTTTTTTGCCCTGAAATAAGTTCAATGACGCAAGAAGACAGAATTACATGGTTTATCACATTACGTTTCACAGAAGAACAAACTAGCTATTAACGATCAATTCAACTGAATATAATCAATGTTTTTTAAAAAATATTTACAGATTTTCAGAAAAAACAACTCATGAAGTAAACTGTTTATTTATTATTGACTAAATGGATAGTCAATAATTACCCTCAGGTCATTAAAAAATCTCAGACAACATTTGTGCAATGAAGTCTTTATTAATTCATTAATTAATTAATCAATTAAATCTCTTGTTTTTATTTACACATTGCTATAACATATAGAAGTCTTTTAAAAAATTTAAATATTTTTGTTTTTTCAAATTTCTAACCTGCATATTTTATACAACTGAGGCGAATACCTGTTCAGCTATTTATACTGGTCGAAATGACAAACCTGGTGAATACACATGTTGA